CAGTACCTGTGTCGACTGGCGCTGACAAAAAGGCTTGTGAAGAGATTGCTCAAGCCAAAAAAGAGCGAGCTCGGGCGGCATCGGCAGCGTGTATGGCGCGGTAAGTGGGTTGGCCTCATATGCACTGCTTGCAGTATTGAATTCTGGTTTAGGAAACGAGCGCGACTGAAGGAACTCCCTGCTAAAGACCAAGAGGCCGCGCGAGAGGCAGACCGCGGCTATCAGGCTAAACACAAAAAAAACAATCGTCCAAAGCTGGCGACCAAGGAGCGGAGAAGGAGAAACCTGTATGGGTTTTCAGAGTTTTCTTGTGATGATGTTTGACGATTGACTTCAGAGCGGATCGAGACGGAAACGTCGTACACAGGTTGGGGCATTTGCAGCGCCCCGAGGATTACAGTCCGGCAGAGTTGGAGGAGCGTTTAAGATTTGCCAAGGCAAGGAAGAGCATGGATAAGATGAGGATGGACAGGGCAGTGCGGAGGCGGGCAAGCGAACAGGAGGAGTAACAGCACACACGATTCATGAAGGTTTCCAGGTGTTTCCGGGTGGAGAGACATGTATACATGTGCTATTGCAATATATAAGCTTTCCTCAAAACTGAATGGCCTCGTTCTGCAGAACCACTGTGTACGCATCATGAATGAACGTGAAGCGGAATAGACTGAGGAACCTCAAACCCCACCTCAGAATCGACTAGTATACCTTTAGAAGAGGATTCTGGCCATAATGGAGAATCCACCCGTGAATGGAGTGAGTAACGCGTATGTACTGTGGGCTCCTATGCGATTTATAGGGCGAGGCGCTGGGCGGCGGTGACAGGGAAATGTACAGGAGAAGGAGATGTAAGGAAGAAATAAACAGCATGGTGCAGTGCGGCAGAGAGTTTGGTAGTGGGATATGAAGTAGGTGTGAATACTAGTACCAGTAACTTGCCATGTAACGTTGGGTGCTTAGCCTAAAACCCCAACTCGAACTCGGTATGATCCAACTCCGCGTCGCTCTCCACTTCGTCGTGGTATAAGCCCGGACTGGGGTCATGCGGTAGCCTATCCCACGAAGCGAGATGACCGACGGTGACTGGCGCCGGTAACGTGTTTGCGTCCCAAAGGTCTTCATGGTCTGGTGCAAAAGCACGGAACCGGATGTCCAGCACGCTTTTCATCATCCTCACCCCAGCCAAGAAACACTCGACGTGATCGACCCATCTGCGACACTCAGCCTCCTCCTGCTCTGGCTCTTCGTCCTCCTCTTCTGTGTCGTCGTCGCCGTACCGCGTCTGCCACTCATGAGCTTTCTCCTGCAACGCAGCCGCAGTGTTAAACCGGGCCATTATACGCCAGGCGCTGTCGCTGTCGGCCGGACAAAACTCTTGAAAGCCGCACACCACTGCCGGCGGCGGCGTCAGGCTGTAAAGAGCGCCGCATAGCAGTCGATTGGTCTCGAGCCTGAAAGAATACATCTGCGGGACACATTAACTTACCACAGTAAATTAGACCCTAATATAACGCACCTTTCTTTCCTCGATACTCAAGATACCAATATGCTCACATAAAAAGTCATCGAGCAAAGCATAAAACTGGAAGAGTCGTATGCGCCCTCCGCTCTGCGCCACCTTATAATGCGGGCGAAGGTAGCGCAGGCATTCCAGACTCTGCAGTTGCGGTAGTGTGGTCAGGTATGCCGCTCGCCGGGAGTGGGGGCAGGATGTCAAAACAGAGTGCGCCGATAAAACGTCCCGCGGCGGCACCATGTTCTCCGGGATGCGCTGCAGCACCGACTGTGGGACGGCTTTGAGTGCCGTCCAGTACGGAGTGGCGGGATCGCTCGCGTCGCCTTCACGGATGTTGCGAGGAAGATGCTCGTCGTGGGTAGTCCCGAGCGCCATCGTCGTTCAAGGACAAGCCGCTGCGGAACAACCACGCGGTTATCCCGAAACCACCACCCTGACGCACTTGGCGCGTGCGATCGGCAGCCTTCATGGGGCGAAAACCTGGTAGAGGGCGCAACCACCTCCAGCACAACTAGAGGAGGTGCCGATGAACGTTGAACGCTGACACCCACAGCACGGATATCGGCCCGCTAAAAAGAATTTAAATCGTAATTGTTCACATTCAAAAAGGCAATAACTGCAGCGAATGGGGATACCCACTGCGAGAATCGAACTCGCGGCCTCACAAGTCCAGAGAAAAGGAGAGATAAGGTTCTTGTGCACTCTAGCCAGCTGAGCTAAGCAGGCGTTATGAACCTCAACGAGGTAATGGTAGGTACTCACTCTCATGTGCATGATTCCCGCTACCCCTAGTGCGGCCAGACTTTCCCACGTGGACTTGGAACGAAACTCATCGCCATCGATCCACTACAATTCTCTGACGAGGAGGCCAGCAACATCCGTCATTCATCGAGTGAGTTCAAATAGTCGCGCGGTACAACGGTCATAAAACCTTCGCGTTTATCATAATCTTATAGACACCATGTCGCATGAATGCCCCCACTGCCGCCTTCCCGCCACCAAGACGCCGACCAGAATTCCCATTCCCTCTCCCTTTCAAGCCCACTTAGGAACAAACGTTACGTTCTTCGTGACTGATGATGCCAGAGTCGAAATTCGCAATGTAGTCGCAGATGCCAAAGCGGATATAGCTGACTTGGACCGTGTTATCCAGAAAATCGAGTCCTCCCTGGCTGCAGCAAAGAAGAAGAGGGATAACATTATTGCGTATCATGATGCGCACGTTGCGCTCTCTCCTCCCATCCACCAGCTTCCACCTGAGGTCCTCCTTGAAATCTTTCACCTCACGTTTGAAAAGCCGTACAACGTATTCGCTTCCTCGCGTAGTGGTCCATGGCTGCTGGGAAAAGTCTGCCGAACGTGGAGACAAACCGCTCGGTCGTGCCCGAGTCTCTGGACCACCTTTATCGTAACGGAGAGACGGTGTGGTCATAAAGTCAACACCAAACTTCTCTTCGAAAGCGCCCTTTTGCAATCTGGAAAGCGCAACAATTTTCATATCCCCTTGGGCAGTCTAAAAAAGACACAAGTCGCAGCTATTGTCAAAACCGCCGAAAGCTGGTATGACGCGTCATTTATAGGCGCTCTTGACGTATTCGAACCATTTTTGAAGATTGGCAGAATGAAGTCGCTGGTGGCACTTGGACTGACGATACGTGTGTGCCACGATGACTTAGAGACCTACGATGGTCTAATTTCATCGCTTGGTAGACACGTACCGCAGCTGCAGCGATTGACCCTGGGCATTATACACACCTCCGCCCCCACCAGCATAAACCTATCGAGAATCAAATTCCCATGGAGGCAGCTAACAGAGCTAGGCGTTCCTCTCGACGACATCCTTTCATGTCAGGAACTGCTCCGTTGCTGTCCTCTTTTGAAGACATTGAAGGATGACGCTCATGTGCGGCGACATGATCGGAAGAAAAAAATCTCGAATACTTCTGGACTTCATCCCTTCGTCTCCCATTCGAAATTGTCCTTCATCGATATGACTCCCACCGTTGACATAACGCTTTTGGATCACATCCAATGCCCAGCGCTCACGTGCTTATCTATCCACTGTCCACGCGAAGACCAGCCCGACGGGGAAATTATTCAACGATTCGTACAGCGCTCGGGGTGCACAGTTACGAGTGGAGAAGTCACTTTTGACGATCATAGATCGTATTTCTTCTCACCTAAAGCAGCACTGAGCGCATTGGGGGGGATCGTAGACCTCAAGTTGTCCTGCCACGGAGAATGTCCTCTAGACAGAGTCATCGAATGTCTTTCGGACCGGGTAATCCTGCCCAATCTACGGGTGCTAACAATTACTGCGACGAGAATAGATCGTTCCATCTGGGAAGATCAGGTCAAGAGCACCCTCATCGACGTTCTGAAGACTCGATACCAATGCGGGGAAGGCGCATCGTCTACAAGAACGAATCTACAAGACGTCGACATTATCTTGGGAAGGGAGTCATATATGCAGCCTGCGTACTATACCAGCGCGCTTGCTTCTGTTTATTATCTGGAAGGATATTCGTCTGGGGGAGATGATAAGCGACGGATACTAGACTGTTTTGGGATGCAGTGTTCAATAGAAGACATTGTCGATGGCGATTTCATCGAGTTTCGAAGGCTGCAAGACAGAGGCTTGGGTATACGGATCTCCATATGGAGTGAGTCGTTCGATTTCCGTTCAACTATGACACTGTACTGATCTGGCCTTTCAGAGGGTAGGACGTTGATTCGATATGTATAGTAGGGGTCAGAGAGACAAATGCGCTTCATTATGTACAATTTTTCCGCGTGTATTGACCCGACGACGAATTGATTTCATTTGCGCCATAGCGCTCAGAATATTGTCAGGTTGATACCTACTTGAATGCAACGGACCGGAGCTCCGCACTGTCTGTAAAAGAACGCGGGGAAGTTGGAGGTAGGGCCTTGCCTTGTGAACGGTGTAATTTCACTCTCTGCCGTGCGTGGCCTTTCGGTCTTTCTAGTTCCCTATTGACTGTGGGAATCGAAATTGTTGTGTGAACATAGTTCTAGTGATATAGTAATATAAAACTTCATTTTTGAAGATTAGGGTATAACGATAAGATGTGCACCCCCCGGAGGTTTACCCTAGATTGTGATACACCTCGGGTTTACTGCGGTTATTAACGGTATTGATACAGTATTGAAACTGTTGGGGGTCGGGAGGTAAGTATCGATCTCTTTTGAAACCGTTTCTAACGGTTTCGATACCGGCACGTGATGCGCGCCGGCGTTCAGAGAAGCTGCGAGTGGCGGGACAAGGGCGGGATGAGAGTCGGCGCACCGCTGCGCCACATCACGTGGTCACAATCACGTGCCGGTATCGAAACCGTTAGAAACGGTTTCAAAACTAAAGCCGCGGGGTCGGTATCAATACCACCGCCCTAAGGTCCACCCTAGAGTCTTCCCCACCCTAATGCAAGCCGTAAGTCCAAAAAAAGTTTGATAGAGCTGGGCTGTACGCCTACTACGGGATTCGAACCGGTGTCTCCGAGATCATCATCGCGTGAGAGAACTGTATGTGATCGTGGTGCTCTAACCATTTGAGCTAAGCAGGCTTGAAGGCTTGCCGTTCCTATTTGGTTCCTGTTACTCTAGGGTGGTCAAGTAAACCCTAGGTTTTGATACACTTCGGGTTTACTGGGTTTACTGCGGTTTTTAACGGTATTGATACGGTATTGAAAGCTTGGCCGCCAAGAGATGAGTGGGTTAGGGGGGCGAGCCGGTGCGCCACATCGCGTGTGCAAAACACGTGCTGGTATCGAAACTGTTACTAACTAGGGGCCCCATTCATACGGTTACTAAGACCCCCCGGAGGTTTACTGCGCCACCCTAAGTTACTCAAGGCCTTACGCGCCGGAACTAGTTACTAGTCTGAAGATTGGTCCAGTTCCTCCAGATTAAAAAATAGAAAGAGCTACTGGCACGCCCACTGCGAGACTCGAACTCGCGGCCTCACAAGTGCATATGAAGGGAGACAAATGCTTCTTGTGCACTCTAGCCAACTGAGCTAAGTAGGCATTATTCAACGCACGAGGTAATCGTAGGCAGTCGCTCTCATATCTGCGGTGCATTGCCTTTCTCTCTTTCGAGTTGCCTGTTGACTTTGGGAATCTATTGCACATATCTAGTTCAACGTATTCATGAGCCTACTTCAAATGGGTCGCTCAGAAAGTTTTGCTCAAATTCGTAGTGTGCCTGGGTATGATGATAGTCCAAGACCGACCTACCAAGAAACCACAAGAAAGCGCTATATACAATGGAATTGTCGTGTCGACGTAGTTCTAGTAATACAAAAATTCAGTGGGCTCTTTGTGAACACTACGTGGCTCAAAACCAAATTCTGCGGTCTGAATACGCGTCTGGTGCGTACTACCTTCGAAATAGGTCATTATGTGCTGAGTGTCATCCGCGTTACCAGCCAGAGTGATGCAGACTGTAAGTGGAGTGGTAGACTGATCTAGTATCTGAGCAATAACGTCCCAGCGGGGACGCTCCGCGTTCCAGTCCACCACGAGGGCCAACCTCTTCAATCGATGCTTGCCTGCCTGAGGCAACGTCATAATTCGAAGAAGAAACCGCAGGAAGCGGTTATAGCAACGGCGGGGCAGAACAATGATAAGAGATGGGACACGGATGAAGAAGGAGGGATCTGAGAGTACGCGTGAGATATGGGAGCGAAAAGGATGTAAGGCATGCTTACCAGCAGAAAGATTCATATGTTTTTCATATACCACAACCTCTTCCACTGTTTCTCCGATGTGCTGGAATAGATCCTCAGCAGGTGAGTCCAATCTATCCTTAAGAACGAGCCTGCGTAACTGGCGAAAGGAAATGGGATGAGCTACCGAGTCAACGACAAGTTTCAGAAACTGGTGTGTGTCTATGCAGATAAGCTCCTGCAATGCGACCTGCACGGTGGCTGATGGCACTGTATCTGGCTCCTTGATTATATGGCATTTGTGAACCTCTAATTTTTGAAGATTAGGGTATAGCGCTAAGATGTGCAGCAAGTCCTTCCAGTAGAGCATCTGAAAGCGGGAAAACCTGATGCTTTTCAATGTATAGGATGGGGGAAGATGGTTATAGAAGCCAGTGAAAGGCTCGTACGGCCAGAGGTATGGCGGAGATTCTAAAAAGACAACGGCGCGCAGGCGCGGAAACTTGGCCATCATGTCACAGATCTTCCTCCAGAACAGTCGAACATCAACAGCCGTTAAAGTGACGGTCAGCGTTTCGACAAATGGACTGACGTCGTAGTCCGTGTTGTACTGCGTAAGAAGCCCATGAATGAGGAGGAAGGGCGAACGGGGTAAGCAACGAACAAGGGAATTCGACAAAGTGCGGCGCAGGGCGTAGATAACAAGACCCACATATTGCTGGAAGAAGTGGCGCAGGAAGAGAAAGAGGACTCTGTCCTCGAGGTATAAAGGGACGATGTCTGAGACACATAAAGGGAGGGTAGGTCTGAGCCCAATCTGGATGTAGAGGTGGAAGGAGTGGCGCAGCAGGAGAAAGAGCACGATGTGCTCATATATGTAGTCGTAGATATGTAAAGGGGTGAACGCATGTCTGTGCTCTGAGACACATAAAGGGGGGGTAGGTCTGAGCGCAATCTGGGTGTAGAGGTAAACGCGGCAATGGGGACTAAATATTGGGCCGCTGCGAAGCAGCGACCACAAGCTTTGGAAGTCCAAGACTGCGACCTCATCGACGATGGAGCGCACAATCTCGGGTGGGAGATGCTTTAGCATTGTTTTAGGAGGTCGCAGGACGGGACGAAACTGTTTTTTTTGAACTCCGCACGTGGGTGATCGAATCGATTTTGGTGAATTTTGGGAATGGACAGCTTGTTCGATAACAGAGGCCAAACCCGCGGCCTGACAAGGAAACAAGACAAACTGATTGTTCTTATGCATTGTAACCAACTGAGCTAAGTGGGGAAACACGTGGAAGTAAATGATCATAGGTAGTCGCTCTCATCTGGGGTTGACCTTAATATTATCCATTCGATTTGGACATGAACGCTGCTGTTCCAAAGTTCAGGGTGAGAGACAGAGAGGAGATAAACAAGGAGAGAAGGTGTGCCACGGCGGGAGATGGTAAGAGGAACAAAAGGTAGGAGCACTTTGAATGAGATGTTAACTTATCACAGAAGACATGCTCAAAAAGTTACACAAATTGAGGACATACAAACACAATATGAGGTGCAAGTTCAGACACACAGATAGCTGACGCCCTCCTCCTCTTCGCAATGCAACTGATCCAACTCGCTCGACTCATCTGACCCATGCTCCTCTCGACTGATCTGACCCATGCTCCTCCGCATGCCGGTCCCCAGATCCATTCTTTGAGCCCTTGGGTAATTTGGCATTCAGAGCGCTTTCTTCGCTTTCTTTGCTTTGTTGAGCTGCTGATGTTCCTGGTAGTCTTCATGGGGGTAGTCGTGGATACGCTTAAGGCGTGCTACGCGCCTGCGCTTACTGCAGGAATCCTGAGTACATCCGGCACATTCAACACAGAGTGTGCTCACGGTTTATCGGGATCGCTATGGCGACGCGCGTCTTCAGCCTTCAGGATCTCGAGGCGGTTCCAGCGTCGGTGTTTGGCCGAGTATTGGTTTTGAAGCTGACGATCAGCCGCTTTCTCTTGTGGCGTGCGATTCGCGCGCTTCCTGGGAGGTTGAAATGAGTAGGATGAACGGAAGAAAAGAATTGAACACGGACTTGGCCATAGACTTGCGAGATGCCTCTCGCGCCTTGGCTTTTTTCTCTTCTTCGTTTTGTTGCCTACGGGCGGCTTTCAGCGCAGCGCCCTCTGCCTTGATGCTCTGCTTTGTACGGGCCATGTGGTGGGCAGCGCGTGTGGTTCAGGTATAGTGGCGGCTTAAGGGAAGATGCTGATGACGATCGAAGCAATGTGTCCAAATTAGGAAATCAGGAGGCATCTTGACTTCTGACTTGTAGTACCATTTTGTGAACAGCTTTGCGTCCGAAAGCTGTACTGCGACTCGGCAGATGATAAACTCTTCAATCACGTTCCCCCATGACACCCAAAGCGGCTTGGTGCCTGCTCCTGGTGTCAAGCAACGGAGTGACTTTTAGGCGGCGTGGGTATCCTAGCAAGACGTTGTTCAATAAACGGAGGGGTATTGGCGTAGATGGCCCTTGTCCCGTGGGCATTTGTCGGGATTGGTGTGGGTGGACGTTGCTGGCGTGAAAACTGTAAATTCCTTCATATCCGTCACACCCACAAACCACTGATACAAGTGCGGTCTTTTTTCTATGTACTAAACCATCTAACTTGTCGTCTAGGAGGAACCTATTGATGCCCCGACGCCAGAGAAGCATCCTCATCCCAAATCTAATGAAATATG